GGAGTACGTACTTCATCCTTTAAGTCTGTGAGTCTGTTTCTGTTTATTAAATAAGTTCATTTGTATCATTTTTTAATATTCTGCATATAAGCTATATCATTTGACATTTGTCTTTCTCTGTGTGATTTACTTCACTTAGTATGATAATCTCCAGGTCCATCCACTTTGTAGCAAATAGCATTATTTCATTCTTTTTCATTGCTGGGTAATATTCCATTGTATATATGTACCAATTTTTCTTTCTTTTTTTTTTGCCATGCTGCACAGCATGCAGGATCTTGGATCCATGTCCCCTCCAGTGGAAATATTGAGTCTTAACCACTAGACTGACAGGGAAGACCCCATACCACATCTTCTTTATCCATTCTTCTGTTGATGGACATTTAGGTTTCTTCAATATCTTGGCTGTTGTAAACAGTGTTGCAGTGAAGACTGGAGTGCGTGTATCATTTTGAACTATGTTTTTCTCTGGATATGTGCCCAAGAGTGGGATTGCTAGACCATATGGCAGCTGTTTTTTTTTTTTTTGTCAAGGTAACTCCATATTGTTCAGGACAGTGGCTATACCAATTTACATTCCCACCAACAGAGTAGGAGGGTTTTTCATACCCTTTCTTTCATACCTTTTCTTCATACCCTCCCAGCATTGATTGTTTGTATACTTTTTGATGATGGCCATTCTAACTGTTGTGAGGTGATTCCTCACTGTAGTTTTTATTTGCATTTTCCTGATGATTAGCGCTGATGAGTGCCTTTTCATGTGCCTATTGGCCATCTGTACATCTTCTTTGGAGTGCTTACATGCTAAGGTGCTTCAGTCATGTCTGACTGTTTGTGACCCTATAGACTTTAGCCCACCAGGCTCCTCTGTCCATGAAATTCTCCAGGCAAGAATACTTGAGTGGGTTGCCATTTCCTTTTCCAGGAGATCTTCCTGACCCAGGGATTGAACCAACACCTCTTATATCTACTGCATTGGCAGGAGGGTTCTTTACCACTACTGTCACCTGGGAAGCCCCCTTCTTTGGAGAAGTAGGTCCAAAGAAGAATTTAGTTTTTCTGCACAGTTTTTGATTGTATTTTTTTTTAATATATTGAGCTGTATGAGCTGTTTGTGCATTTTGGAAATTAATCCCTAGTTAGAATCCTCTTTTTCAAACCTTGGATATGAGTAAAACACAAGAGCTAAGAGTTTGAAGAAGTCATAACATCTAGTTTTAAATACAGGAGGAAAACAGGCATGTTTATATAATCAATCTTAGGGAAAGGATTTGTGAAACAGAAAAGACTAACCAAAATAGAGCAAGGATAATACATGAAGCAAAGCTTCTGAAGACATGGAAGAGGAAAATAGAGTATAAGTTGGATGTTTGGTCTACAGAAGAGAAGGTCAGGTGGGACTGGAGATAAATGCATGGGTCTAGAGACAGGAAGTATAAAATTAGAGCCTAGAGTTGGTGGAAGATGGACACAGGAGAAGAAAGATTAGAAGTGCATGTACTGCTACATTCTACAACATGGTGATTCTTGGAAAAATTATGTTAAGTAAAAGAAGCTAGTCACAAAGGCCACATAATATATGGCTCCATTTATATGAAATTGTCCAAAATAGGAAAATCATGACAGAAAATAGATTAATGATTAACTAAAACTAGAAGGATGTTGGAATTAGGCACTGATAATGATAGGGTTTCATTTAAGAGTGATGAATATGTTCTAAAATTGATTGGTGATGGTTGCACAGCTATATTCAAAGAAGACTGAGTAATTCACTTTAAATGGGCAAATTGTATGATATATAAGTAAGATTTCACTAAAGCTGTTGCAAAAAGACAAATAAATATGAAAGATGTTATGATGAATAATTAATAGATGATTATTTTGATAATGTGATAAATAACTATAATAGCTACTATGTACTGGTATGATTAATATAAGAGCTAATATTTGTCAATATGATAAATACAATAGCCAACATTTAATGAGTATTGACTTTGTACTAGGCACCATGTTAAGTACATATACTATTTTATTTAATTAACACAGTAACACTGTGAGGTGGGTATTTTCATTCTACTTAACAGATGAGGAAATGATGAGACATTAACTAGATCTATTTTGGTGATCAATTCACAATATATACAAGCATCAAATACATGGTACACCTGAAGCTAATATAATGTTATGCATCATTAAAAAAAATAATGAGACAGAGAAATACTGTACAAAGTCACACAGTTGGTAAATGAGAAGCCATATATTACCAAAGGCATTACTGCTAATCAACAGATAATATTTCCTAGAACAATGTGAAGGCATGAACTTTTTCATTTTTCTATCACCAATCTTAACACATAATAACATTCAATAAATGTTTGGCCAACAAATTAATGAATGAAACTTGTCTTATTCAGAGTAGTAAATAAAGTGGTGACTTCTATAAGAAATAGAAATACTGGGAAGGAAATAATTGTTGTCCTTGACTATCTACTGAATAAATATTATTAAATTATATAAAATTATAATACTTTATCAACAATAAAATAGCAAATAATAGCAAATGATATTTTTATGGCTGCCAGAATAAAAAATATTTAGAGAATGTATTAGAAAGGAGTTAATGTATTAATTAAAGTGGTATCATCTGCATATCTGAGGTTGTTGATATTTCTCATGGCAGTCATGATTCCAGGTTTAGATTCATCCAGACCAGCATTTCACATGATGTACTCTGCATAAAGGGGCTTCCCTGGTGGCTCAGATGGTAAAGAATCTGCCTGCAATGCAAGAGACCCAGGCTCAATCCCTGGGTTGGGAAGGCCCCCTGAAGAAGAGAATGGCTACCCAATCCAGTATTCTTGCCTGGAGAATTCCATGGACAGAGGAGCCTAGTGGGCTACAGTCCATTGGGTCACAAAGAGTCAAGACAACTGAGCAACTAATACTTTCACTTTCACTCTGCATATAAGTTGAATAATCAGGGTGACAATATATAGCCTTGACATACTCCTTTCCCAATTTTGAATCTGTCAGTTGTTTCATGTCCTGTTCTCCTACTGCTTCGTAACCTGCATACACGTTTCTCAGCAGGCAGGTAAAGGGGTCTGGTATTCCCATGTCTTTTTAAAGAATTTTCCACAGTTTGTTGTCATCCACACAGTCAAAGGCTTAAGCATAGTCAATGAAGCATAAGTAGATGTTTTGTCTGGAACTCCCTTTTTTTTTTCCATGATCCGATGAATGTTGGCAATTTGATCTCTTTGAAACCCAGCTTGTACATGTGGAAGTTTTTGGCTCATGTACTGCTGAAGCCTATCTTGAAAGATTTTGAGCATAACCTTGCTATCATGTGAAATGAGTCCAATTCTGTGGTAGTCTTAAAATTCTTTGGGATTGATCTTCTTTGGGATTGGAATGAAAACTGAAATTTTCCAGTCTGTGACCACTGCTGAGTTTTCCAAATTTGCTGACATACCGAGTGCAACACTTTCACAGCATCATCTTTTAGGATTTGAAATAGCTCAGCTGGAATTCCATCACCTCCTATAGCTTTGTTAGTAGTGATGCTTCCTAAGGCCCACTTGACTTCACACTCCAGGATATCTGGCTCTAGGTGAATGATCTGACAATCTTGGTCATCTGGATCATAAGACCTTTTTTGCATAGTTCTGTGTATTCCTGCCACCTCTATTTAATTTATTATGCCTCTTGATTAGGGTGAAAGAGGAGAGTGAAAAGGCTGGCTTGAAACTCAGCAAAAATAAAAATTTAAGATCACAGCATCAAGCCCCATCACTTTATGGCAAGTAGAAGGAAAACATGGAAGTAGTGAAATATTTCATTTTCTTGGGCTCCAAAATCACTGCATAAATTGACTGCAGCCATGAAATTAAAAGATGCTTGCTTCTTGGAAGGAAAGCTATCACAAACCTAGACAGCATATTAAAAATCAGAGACATCACTTTGCTGACAGAGGTCCTTATAGTCAATGCTATGGTTTTTTTCCAGTAGTCATGTTCAGATGTGAGAGTTGGATCCCTAAAGAAGGCTCAGTGCTGAAGAATTGATGCTTTCAAATTGTGGTGCTGGAGAAGACTATTGAGATTCCCTTGGACAGCAAGGAGATCAAACCAGTCAATTCTAAAGGAAATCAACCCTGAATATTCATTGGAAGGACTGAAGCTGAAGTTCAATATTTTGGCCACCTGATGCAAAGAGCTGACTCATTAGAAAAGACCCTGATACTGGGAAAGACTGATGGCAAAAGGAGAGGAGGGTGGCAGAGAATGAGATGGTTAGATAGCACCACCGACTCAATGCACATGAGTTTGCGCAAACTCTGGGAGATAGTGAAGGACAGAGGAGCCTGGCATGCTACAATCCATGGGATCACAGAGTGAGACATGCTTTAGTGACTGAACAACAACAACAGTGTTAAGTAAACTAATATATGTAGTTAATATGGTGCCTAGTACAAAGTCAGTACTCAATCTGACAAAGGAAGACAATTTCTCTAGCATACTAGTACATTATCCATTTACATGTTAAAAAGTATCTTCAAATTAGGAGCATAAGCTTTCTTATTTTCTGCTTGGTTATTCACAGTCTTCTGTGAAAGAAAATATTGAGCATCAAGTTCACTACTCTAAAGAAATAGGCACTTGCCTTGATCCAATTCCATGGACAGACTCTTGATGCCAGTCAAGTGGGAGACAAAGCAGGACAGAGCAAGCACATGTCAGCCCTTCCAGGGTATGTACTCTGAACGGTCACTGTGCCATTGCCCCATTAAGGTTCTTGCTCAGTGACACAATCTCCCTCTGGGGTCCAGGAGATCTGTGCAGCAAGCTTCTCTGAAACTTTCTTGCACACTGCAGTTCCCTTTTCAGTTGGAACCAGGGACACCTCAGGGGCCCTTGCAGAATTGTAGGGGAAATGCTTCAGTCTTAACACATGTGACATGGAATTTAGACAGAGACTTGTTTCAGTCCAAAATCTGTTTATCTGAAACACGTCAATATATGATGTTCCTTACCTAACACTTGGAGGTGATACTCATGATGGAAATTCCCATCACTTGTTACTCTTTGACACGTGTAATTCCCATCATGAGTGATGACCACTGGATAGATCTGAAGGGCAAGATTCTCGTCAGGTCTGGAGGCCCAGGTTATTCTCTTGTCAGTACAGTTTCCTCCTATGGTCTGATTCGTATCATGCCTAAAGGCTCTGAAGCAGGGTGGCTTGTCTCTGAGGACTATTTCCCATGTTGCTAGCAGCACACTTGTCCACAGCACAGGAGAGCAAGGGAGCACAGCTTTTGTAACTACTAGTATTGATAGTGAAATCTTAACTGGAAATACATACATAAACACACAAACAGAATAATAAAAGAAAAACTTTATAAATACTTGATGTGTTAAAATTTATTCACAGCATACTACATGAAGTTGTACTTGAAATTTACTTTGCAAGTGGTCTTCTTCCAGAAATATTAGACTTCCAGAAATAACATTCATTAAATATATAAAGTATAGTATTAAATCCATCCAATGATTAACCAACTTCTTCCTGTGTTATGTATCATTAGGAAAATAACATGTATTATATGTATGATGATTTTTTTAAGTGTCATGAAAATTAATTCAGAAGATTTTATATCTATGAAACAAACTGATGAGAAAACAGAATCTGAATTAAAAGACAAAGACAGTGTTCTAGTCTTTCATCATAGAGACTGTCAGATTTATCTTATAATTCATACTCCTCAGGATAGAAATGAAATGATAAATGAAGTTTTGTCTCTTACTAAGTTTTGATGAGAGAGAATCAATCATTAACATCAGGACTAAATACCTTTTCCTAAGGGTGGCACTTCAGGCAAATGTTAAGTAATGAAAACATATGGTACTTTCATTAAAAATATCTAGAATGATATATTTTTCTTTCTGTCTGACTTATTTCACTTAGCATAACATCCTCTAGGTCCATCTATATTGTTGTTAGTGGCAAGATTTTATTTTTTATGCCTCAGTAATAGCAATAGTAAAATAGTCCATTGTATAAATATGTGTGTGTATCACATCTCTATACAGTCATCCATCCATTTATCTTAATTGTGTTGAAGTACCAAAAGAAACATTCAACAGTATTAAATAAAACATCAGGATGTACAGATATAAAACACTATTGATAAACAAGTGGAATTTTAAAAATACCAAATCAGAAATTAAAATTCAGTGGATGGATTAGTTTCATCAGGATAAAAATGGATAAAGAACCACCCAACTTAAAGTTAGACAAATGAAATTCCTCCAACCAGTAACATAAAGAACAGATTAAAAATAATAGAACTTCAACAGCTGGTGGGGCAATATAAAAAAGATTAACACATGTATATTAGAATCCAGTAGCATATTAAAAGTATTATATACCATAATCAAGTGGGATTTACTCAGGAATATAAGGACAGATCAACATATGAAAATCAATTAATGTATTACAAGACAAAACCACACCATATAATCATTTCAATTGATGCAGCAAAAGTCTTTGACAACACACTTTCATAATAAAAACACTCAACAAACTATGGATAGAAGTGAACACCTCAATCTGATAAGAGATATTATGAAAAAACCATTTCTAAGTCAGTCTTAATTATCAAAGGCTAGATGCTTTCTTCCTAAAATCAGGAACAAGACAAGGATGTCCTCTCTTGCCTCTTCTATTCAATATCATTTTGGAATTTCCATACAAACAATTAGGCAAGAAAAAGTAAATAAAAACATAATAGTAATTGTAAAGAAAGAAGTGGGCTTCCCAGGTGGCACTAGTGGTAAAGAACCTGCCTGCCAATGCAGGAGACATGAGACATGGTTTTGACTCCTGGGTCAGGAAAATCCTCTGGAGGAGGGCATGCCAATCCACTCCAGTACTGCTGCGTGGAGAATCCCATGGACAGAGGAGCCTAGGGGGCCCTAGGGGTCACAAAGAGTCAGACACGACTGAAGCAACTTAACACATACACACAAAGAAAGAAGTAAAACTATTTTTATTTGAAGATGGCATAATCATGTACATAGAAAATACTAAGGAATCCATTAAAAAAACATTTCAACTAATAATTTCAGCAAGTTTGCAGAATACAAGATTAATGCCTAAAAATCATATTTTCATATACTTGCAATAAAAAGTTTAAAAAACAATTCCATTTACCATAGCATCAAAAAGAATAAAATACATTGGGAAAAAAACTTTAGAAGAGAAGTGTAAAATTTTCATTCTAAAAATACAAAACACAGTTGAAAGAAATTAAATAAGACTTAAATAAATGAACGACATTCATATTCAAGAATCAGAAGACTCAATATTGTTAAGATGCCAACACCCCTCAAATTAATCTGCAAATTAGATACAACATCTATCAAAATCTCAACTGGGTTTGTTTGCAAAAATTGACAAGTTGATGTTAAACTATGAAAATGCAAAAGATCCTGAATAGTCAAAATGACCTTTTAAAATTACAAAGTTGGAGGACTCACATTTACTTATTTAAAAATCTACTATATTTATTAGGACACTGTGATATTGACATAAGGATAGACCTGCAAAGCAATGAAATAAAATTTAAAGTCTAGACATAAACCAATGTGTCTCTGGTCAACTGATTTTCAACAAAGGGTCAAGATCATTCAAAGGAGAAAAACAGTCTTTTCAACAAATGGTGCTGGAGCAATTGGATATCTACTTGCAAAAGAATAAAAAAGTTAACTCAATATTAATCATAGACCTAGATGTAAGAGTTAAAAGTATAAAACTCATAAAAGAAAAAAATAGGAGTAATTAGTTGGATTAGGTAAAGTCTTCTTAGATATGATGCAGAAAAGCATAAGTGACAAAGGGAAAAGTAGATAAATTGTATATCAAAACAAAGAAGTCTTGTACTCAAATAACACTATTGAGAAAGCGAAAAGACAACCCACAAAATGAGTAAAAACATTTGTAAATCACATACTTAATAAGTGATTTACATCTGACATACATAAATCTGTGCATGCTCAGTCATGCCAACTGTTGTGACTCCATCCTGACAGGCTCTTCTGTCTATGGGATTTCCCAATGGAAAATTGGGAAAATTTCCTCCTCCAGGGAAATCTTCCCAACCCATGGATCGAACTTGAGTCTCCCATGTCTCCTGCATTGCAGGCAGAGTCTTTACCGTTGAGGCATCTGGGAAGCCCCTAAAGGGCTTTTATGAATAAATCATATAAAAAGTAAATAATCCAATTTAAAATTGAGCAAAAAAAACAAAAAAACGAATAGATAGTTCTCCAGAGAAGATATAAAAATATCACATCATCACATAAACACATGAAAAGATCCTTAATATTGTTAATCTTTAAAGAAATACAAATAAAAACCACAATAAGATGTTATTTCATCCCCACACAGGTAGCTGTAGTCAGAGAGGTAGAAAATAACACATGTTGGTGAGGATATGAAGAAATTGAATCTTTAACAAATCTCTGGTGAAAATTTTACATTGTTCATTCACTTTGGAAAATAATTTGTAAGTTCTTTAAAAAAAAATGTAGAGTTACCATATGACCCAGCAATTCTACTTTAAGCTCTATCTCCAGAAGAAATGAAAACATACATCCACAGAAGTTTGTATTCAAACATTTGTAGGAGAGTTGTTCATAATAGCCCAAAAGTGGAAACAATCTAAATGCCCATTAACTGATGAGTGGGTAAGTAAAATGTGGTATACTCTTACCATGGAATATTGTCAGGCAATAAAAAGTGACGTAGTGATATACACTATAGCATAGAAGGATCTTGAAAGCATTTTGGTAAGCCAATCACAAAAGACCACATATATGATTTCATACATATATAGTTTCTAAAATAAGCAAACATATGAAACAGCAGTATACTTGAAGTTTCCTAGAGAAGGTGTTGTGGGGAGATGAAAGGGGAATTTATCCTTAAATCAAATACTAAAAATGGATAATGCAAAGTAGTATAGGCAAAAAAAAAAGTCAATAGATTAGTTTAAATGGTGTTCTTAAAAATATTAGTTAACTCAAAAGAAGGCAGGAAAGAAGAAACAAAGGAACAGTAAACAGAGGGGACAAAGAGAAAACAAATAGTAAAATGATGGGTGTAAATTTTATCATATTAACAACTATATTCTATATTGAGACAAAATCAAAGATTATCAGAAAGGATAAAAAAGCAAATTCCAATTATATGAGGTCTACAAAAATCAACTTTAAAATAAAGATAAACATAAGTTGAAAGTAAAGGATGGAAAAATATAAACCATGCAAACAGGACAAAAAAGCTGGGGAACCTATATTAATAAAAATAAAGTCTTCAAGATAAAGACTGGGTGAGGAGCCAAGGTGGCAGAGGACTAGGATGGGGAGACCACTTTCTCTCCTACAAATTCATTGAAAAAACAATTGAACGCTGAACAAATTCCACAAAACTTCTGATTGCTATCAGAGAACATCAGACGCCCAGAAAAGCAACCCATTGTCTTCGAAGGGAGGTAGGACAAAATATAAAAGATAAAAAGAGAGACAAAAGAGCTAGGGATGGAGTCCCGTCCCAGGAAGGGAGTCTTAATAGAGGAAGTTTCCATCACCAGGAAACCCTCGCAATGGCGGGTCCGCCTAAAAGCAACTCCCAGCAGAATAGTACCCAGACGCCCGCACCTGCCACCAACAAGTAGGGGGCGGAACGGAGAGGAGTGGGCGGCATTGCTTAGGGTAAGGACTGGCCCGAAGGCCCTGAGAGCAATTGGAGGGAGCTCTTTTAAACTGTGGGGTAGCAAGGGAGAAAATTAACCTGCCTGAACACACTGCCGGCGGTTCGCAAAACAAAGGGACTGAGAAACTCCAGAGAAGAGCCTCCCCATCCCCGCTGGAGGTAGGAGGCAGGGGGGAGGTGAAAGGGGCAAACTCAGCCCCAGAGAAGCCACCCCCTCCCACACTGTAAACAGGCCTCTGGTGTCTATCTGAGAACAAACGAAGCCACAGGTACCCAACCGGCGGCGCACACTGGGGCCACGGAGGGAAAAGGCGCGCCGCATCTGGGGAGAGTGCGCCCAAGCCCCTGGCTGCCTGAACCGCTCAGGCCTGGGAAGGCACAAAACGCAGGCGCAACCGAATCCACGCTTTTGTGGAGTACACGAAAACTGGAACTGCAAACAACGCAGGGCCCGCTCCATATAGAGCAGCTGGGAGCCTGAGCAGTGTAGACGGGGAAAGCACAGAGACCTCTGTACAGGGCAAACCCAGTGTGGCCGGAACACGGTGAGTGCTATCAACACACAGCGATATCTGTCTGCAGCGCCCCG